GGTGTGTTTATATATATTGAATGGTATAGGGTATATTTATAGTTTTATGTCTAGGAATGGGTATTTCACTAATTTTCTAAATAGAAAATCTCTAAATTAGTAAGAAATCCTAGATTTCAAAATATTTCTAAAACTTAACTAATAAGAAATATAGTAAAAATCTAAACTAAATAATGTTAAGAAAATAATCTCCTAATAGACAACTTATTGGAATTAAAAATATGCAAGAAATTAAATATAAATCTTGCCAAAAGGAACCTTTTCTTGAAATTTACTCAAGCAATCCGAAAATGCCAAAAATAGCTTCATCTTCCTTTCCTAGCGTTATGCTTGATTCTCAAGGGCGACTTTCCATCTTTGGGCTCTACTTGCCTTATTTTACACTGTTTCTTTTTGTACATTTTCTCCGCGGGTATAAACCCCATGTTTTCCTACAGCACTATCACTCTGAGGTTTTCTCCTCACACACACTCAATGCCTTCGTCTTCCTTCCACTTTGAGACTTGAGTGAATCAGTAACTGGAGATATTCTACTGTAGAGACTGCTCAGAATTAAAGACCAAATGGGAAAACCACTTGCCAGAAAGTCCTCTCAAGAAGTCTGGTTTGGCATACTAGCACCCTTTTTTATTTTGTGCCTTGTATTGCTTTGCTTGAGTTATTCAACTCTATTGGGTGTCACCAATGGGGTCAATCTTTTGGTGATTAAACAATTTCACACAATTAACATTTGGAAGATCAACCACACCGAAGACTCGTGCGCCAATCGTTACATTTACATCCATGAGGGTCTTCCTGCCAGATTCAACTATGACTTCCTCAACAACTGTGAGTCTCTAAGTGCAGGGACTTGTAATTGTAACACACCAAATATGTGTCCTCACCTTATGAATTTGGGGCTTGGTCCTCAAGTTAACGACTCCGAAGGTGTTTTAGCCAACAAGAGTTGGTTTAAAACAAATCCCTACTTGTTAGAAGTCATATTCCACAACAAGATGAAGCAGTATGAGTGTTTGACAAAAAACTCCTCCCTGGCTTCAGCCATTTATGTGCCATTCTATCCCAGCATGGATGTTGGTGTCCATCTGTGGGATTTTAACCTCACTATCAGAGACTCTTCAGCTAGAGATTTTGTAAAGTGGCTTTCGGGACAACCCGAATGGATGAAAATGTGGGGGAGAGACCATTTCTTTGCTTCCGGGAGGATTGCTTGGGATTTCAGGAGGGAAAGAGACAATAGTTCTGATTGGGGTAGTAAACTCAGGTTCTTGGCTGAGTCCATGAACATGACCATGTTGTCAATTGAAGGAGGGAGATGGAAAAACGACATTGCAATTCCATACCCCACGAACTTTCATCCTGCAAAGGACAGTGAGGTTGTTCAATGGCAGAACAGAGTTAGGGAACAAGAAAGGCGTTATTTGTTCTCTTTTGTTGGCGCACCAAGGCCTCACCAGCAGACTTCAATCCGGGGAAAACTTATTGATCATTGCCAAGCTTCAACTAATTGCAAGTTTCTACATTGCGATGAAAAGCAATGTGGCAACCCTGTTACTGTTATGAGGGTGTTTAAGAGCTCTGTTTATTGCTTGCAGCCTGGAGGGGATTCATACACTAGGAGGTCAGCTTTCGACGCATTTCTGGCTGGTTGCATTCCAGTTTTCTTTCATCCGGCTACGGCTTATACTCAATATTTATGGCATTTGCCAAAGAATCATACCAAGTATTCCGTGTTTATTCCGGTAAGGGATGTAGAAGATTTGAAAGAAGGCCTAATTGAGAAAGTGTTGCTTGGAATTTCAAAGGATAAGGAAGTGGCCATGAGAGAGGAGGTTATAAGGCTAATACCAAAGTTGGTATATGCAAATCCCAGGTCAAGATTAGGGACTCAAGATGCATTTGACATCGCTGTGCAGGGAATTCTTGAGAGAATAGAGAATGTGAGAAAGGTGATTAGAGCGGGGAGGGATCCTAGTATTGGTTTTGCAGATGAGGATAATGATAAGTTCAAATTTCCCGAGACACTAGACTCATAGACACGATTGAGCGCAATGGATAGTTTCTATGTAGAGCAAGTAGAGATGGAAGAAGAAGTGGAGATATAGAAATCAAACCAAACAAATTGCAATTGACTTTTATTATAGCCATAACTTTTAATATAGCATCTTGTTCATTTTATTAATTTACGGGTGTATTGAATTGGTATTTTAATGAATATTAAAGCAGTCACTAACTCTTTTGGACTCTATGGGTTTTAATTGACTTCTATAGACTGCACATAGACTGTTACCGAATTTACTAATTATCAGGAATGAGGAAAGCAATGAATTGCGGAAATAGATATGGGTAATCAAGAAATTGGAATTGGATCAACTACTCTTAAATGATCTCATTCTTAATTTTAAGGGTATTTGATTACTAATTTTAATGTGAAACCCACATAATATTTATTCCTTACGTAAACGTAGGGGAAGTAAGAATTTTGAATCATTCCAGTACCCATGTGTTAGTACACTGTAATTGAAATAATTCCAATACTCATTACTGATAAGTAAACATGCCAATATATATAGATTTTATTGGAGCTTTTTCAGTTGAGTTATTTACATTAACACACCCTGAGGTTTTCGGCGTTTTCACAAACCCCGGAGGTTTCAAAAATTACACAATACCCTCCTTGAGGTTTCAAATTATTTTCACAAAAGCTCTTTTTGTGGATTGTTCGTGCAAAAATTGATGATTTCATTTAGGGGTTTTAGCCATTTTACCCAATGAATTATGACCGTTGTATAATTTAACCCCCTGAACTAAAAAATCAACCAATTTAGTACTCCAAACCCATTAAAACATCCAATTTAGCCTTTATTGTCAAAGTTTTTTAATTTCATCAACTTTTCATTCAAAAAGTCACGTATGCTTCACGTGACTTATTATTTGAGCCTTTTTGTTTTTTTTTAATTATTTGAGTTTTTAGATATTATTATTATTAAAAACTAAACATTTAAAAAATAAAAATATTAAATAAAAAGGAAAAAAAACCAAGTGTCATCCTGTACTGAAGGCAACAAATGTTCAAAGTTTGACTTCTCGAATTGGTCTTTTTGTGATTTGTTGACCATGTAACTGTCCTCTGCTAAGGAATGAATATTTCTCGAACATTTCTTTGAATGAAAAATCAAACTGGCATTGATGTTTGGGTGATTACATCGCTTTATCGAAAGGAAATAACTGGATGAATGATTTGAAACATCAACAATAATTTGTCTTCAGTGGGAGTGGAGTAGACTTAGTCATCTGCTGGGGACTGAGTTGCCGATGAGAAGCTTCAAGGGTACTTTTGGAGGTAATAAGCATTCCACTGCCTTGAAATTTCATTTCCCTCCAAAGTATCTAGTGTATAGCGTCCTCAGCCCCCAGGTCTATTGACCACGTAGGGGCCTTCCCAGCTAGGCTTCATATGTTTTTTTATCCTTCTTTAGGTGCCGTGGTGAAGGCTTTTCTTAGTAGAAGGTCTCCGAGTTGGAATTGTCTGGCCTTTGCCTTTTTGGTGCAATAAGACATCACTTGCTGATGATAAGCCTCAACCTGTACAATGACCTTTTCTCGTTCCTCCTCAAGTAGGTCAAGGTTAACCTTCATTTGCTCGCAGGTTTGATTAATGTTGCCCACCTTGATGCTAATAGATGAAAAGTGATATGAGTAGGAATGATTACTTCAGTATCATAGGCTAAGGAAAAAAGGGTTTCACCAGTTGATCTCCTTTTGGTGGTGCGATAAGTCCATAGTACTCAGGGCAGCTCATCCACCCATTTTCCCTCATGGGCTTCCAGCCTCTTTTTCAAGTAGTCCAGCACGATTTTGTTGGATGCTTCTGCTTGACCATTTCCTTGTGGATATCTCAAAGTTGATAAGTGTTGCTTGATACTATATTTCACAAGGAATCTAGTGATCTGCTTGCCAATGAATTGTGGTTTGTTGTCGGTGACTAGCGACTGTGGGCAGCCAAAGCGACATTTGATATTTTTCTAGGTAAATCGTTGTACATCAACTTCTTTAGTAGATGATAGAGCTTTGGCCTCAATCCATTTAGTAAAGTAGTCAGTGGCTATGATCATCATTTCCTTCTTGGTAGGTACCCGTGGCATGGGACCCATTAAGTCAATTGCCCATTGCATGAATGTCTATGGATTGTTCTGCTGGTGGTACACTTCTACAGGTAGACCAGGAATTGGCTTATATCGTTGTCATTGATCACATCTTTTGATATACTCAATGGAGTCATGACATATGGTACGCCAGAAGTAGCCTATGCTGAGAGCCTTTTGGGCGAGTGATAACTAGTGCTAATGGCATACCCTCTCCAATTATTGGCGAGGGCACAATATCTCTCACTCCCACTCTGTCCTTGCCTCATGTGTTATTAGTTCCCAATATCCATTGTAACTTGTTATCTATTGGTCGATTATTTGATACACTTCATGCTTTGCTACTTTCTATCCTACACATTACTCTTTTCAGGATCTCAAGACTCAAGAGACGATTGGGCATAGTAAACAGTTAAGGGGGTTATATTATTTGACTTTGCCTTCTGCACCTATTCATGATCGTGTCGTTAATACTGTTCAAAGTTGCAGTGTCAAAGACAAACAACAAATTTGGTTATGACATCGTCGCTTGGGACACCCGTTGTTTGGCTACCTTAAGCGTCTATTTCCATCTTTATTCCGCTCTTGTGATGAATCTAGTTTTAAGTGTGCGACATGTATTTTGGCCAAGAGCCATCGCATTGTGTTTCCTTTGAATAACAGTAAAGCTACACAGCCTTTTGATTTAGTGCATTCTGATGTGTGGGGTCCGGCTCGAGTTACTTTGAACGAATTTCGTTGGTTCTTGACATTTATTGATGATTATACCCAACTCACTTGGGTTTTCTTGCTAAAAATAAACATGATGTTACTTCCATCCTTTCAGAGTTTTGTACTATGGTGTTTACTCAGTTTCAGGCTCGAGTCAAAGTATTTTGAACTGATAATGGAGGAGTATATGTGAATAATACTTTGGCTTTTTTCTTCCGTGCTAAAGGTATTATTCACTAAACGAGAACCCCATTTACCCCTCAACAAAATGGTGTGTTTGAAAGGAAGAACCGACAATTGCTTGAAGTTGTCTGCTCACTCATATTGAATATGTCTGTTCCCCATCATCTTTTGGGGCATGCTGTTCTATCTACTGCCTATTTGATTAATCGTACTCCTAGTTGGGTTCTTGATTTCAAGACTTCGCATGATGTGTTTGCTGAACATGTTTCCCCTGTCTCCGTCTCCAAGTTGCCCCCTAAAGTTTTTGGGTGTGTTGCCTATGTTCATGTCTACTCTCATCAACAGAGTAAACTTGATCCTTATGTGCTGCATTGTGTATTTATTGGCTAGTCTTCTACTCAGAAAGGTTATAAGTGCTATCATCCACCTACCCAGAAGGTGCATGTTACTTTGGACGTGACTTTCCATGAAGAAGTGTCTTATTATGTTTCTCCCTCCTCTCCAATTCAGGGGGAGAGGGGGAGTGAATTGGAGAATGATGTGTTTGAAGATACTGCTCTCGAGAAGGAAACGACTAGTCGCACTGAAGCAAGTGACAGGTCGCCTATATCTGAAGATGAAACATGTAGTCTATGTGAAGAAACGACAAGTTGTATATCATCCGAGTATCAACTGGCAGATGTACTTATGAAAGCTGTGTCTACTACTGTCTTTCTCAACTCGCTTGACAAGTTTGGTATGCGTGACATCTTTGCTCCAACTTGAGGAGGAGTGTTAGCGTGATCCTAACTTAATTAGGAGATTTATTTCCTAATATATTAGGACTCTATTTCTTTCCCTTTTGTACTGATATTGTGTAATTAGGATTTTATCTTATTTCCTTGTATAACCCTACTAGGGTTACAACCTTGTATTATAAATACCTCATTTTGGAGAATGAAATATATTTGAAAATATTCTACCCATATTGTTTGACTTGGTATCAGAGCGGGTTGATTGACTGGGCCTGAATTGGGCCTTTACCCTTACCCAATATGTGGTGTTCAGATGCTGGGCTTGAATGTTTACCCATACTCTTTACTCAATACGTGATGTTCACATATTGGGCTTGAATGATTGACTCTGATGTGGACTTGGCTCCGCATAAGGGGGCGTGTTGAAGAATATAAGTCCCACATCAGAAACTTGACTAAATAAAATACAATATATAATGAATTATTCCACTACTAATATCATCGAGACCTTTTGTGATAAAAAACCTCTATGCCCTAATCTTGAATACCATATACCACGGCATCTTAGCCCTCAGGATCAAGAGATGTATTTATCAGAGATGTCTAGGTCCGAAAGGAGCAATAATACATTCATATTCGTTAGGATGTCAACTTCAACCTGTTTAAATAATTAGGAACACTATAATTAAGGTTCATGCCAAAAATCAAATTACAGAGTAACCTATTGTTTAAACATACACGAGAGAGAGCAAACCAGTTTGTCAGTAGAACCATCAAATATGGTTGTCTCCGTTGGAATTTTAAAAGATTTTAAAATTTTAACCGTTTTTATTTATTTAATTATTTTGACTGTTTTATTTTATTCATTGTGGGGGTTATACATATTTAATTTTCAGGTATTATTTCTATATTGAATGCCTTAATTTTATAGTTTAATGTGGTGAAGGTTACATGTTACTGGATGCCTATAAAAGGCCACTCCTCCTTCACATTTGAAAAACCACAACCCCATCAGAATATCACATACCACAATTTAATTTTCTCCTCTTCTACCTTTTATATTTTCTCTACTTATATTATTAGTTTTGGCAACGGTTCTGTGACTTGGATACCTATATCCGTTTATGAACGTGCTCATAGCGGATCTTGAGTTTGTGTACAAGGAGTCGTATAGACCGCCAGTACCTGTACGTAGGGAGGCTACAAAGGCTTTAAAACAGCGTTTTTGCTTTTACTTACCTATTAATTTGTTTTCTTCAATTT